AAAGTTTGAAACCTGACTTGAGAAATTGTTAATCAAGAATCATTCATATGAGTTGAATTTCTCAAATATTTTTGTATATCCCAGAAAAACCAATAATTCTTTCTTAGCCCAGCCCCATTACAAGCCTCAAAAGACCTTTTGATTTAAGTCTTGTTTAACAATTGTTGATTGCTTGAAGATGATTATCAATATTGGATTGTCTAAATGAAGTGATTGAATGAGATAAACACTTACCTGTGAGAATTAGAGATGAGTATATATAACTCTATTTGAGAGATTATGCTTCTCTGAGGATAGTTGAAGACTAATTATTCTTTGTTGGTTTCTATAACTTGAATGCTTATGTGTTCTATTTTCATTTGGAGTTGTGAGCATCACCTCTGAAAATTTTTATGTTGTAGTTCTAGAAGAGAAAAAGATAATAGGTGATGATTTTGTTTTGGAAAAATTACTTTGCTTGGGACAAGCAAGATTCTAGGTTGGGGGGAGTTGTTAAGTGGTAAAAAGTTGATATAATTATGCCTTGAATTGTTATGAAACCACTTAACTTATGTTAATTCTAATATATTTTTCTCCCAATATAGGATGAATTCAAGAATACCTTGATACAAAAGGAAGGAGCATAATTGTCAGCATAATTAGAGTAAAATTGAAAGAAAGAAGAGCGCTTAAGCGAATAAATGATGCAAGGCCCAACCCAAATTCTCTTATAAAAAGATAAGTTGTGTTTTGAGAAAAACAAGCAGTCTTGGAGAGGAGGAGACACGATTACTGTTAGGGTTTTGTCCAATCTTTATCAATTCTTCTTCATCAATTGAAGCATTGTAATGGCCAACATGAGTGGCTAACTTCATTCTCTTAGGATTCGGTGCACTTCCTTTGAACTCTTTTGTATCATGGTGATATTTTGATATATTAATCTATGCTTTGATGTTGTTATTCTTATCCTTTATGCTTTGGAATGATTTATTCTTGATTGTTTGAGGTATGATTGGAAAATATATCTTGAACCCTAGATCACGGTAAGAATATTTGTTACGTTAATTGTCAGGAATGGAATGAATGTATTAATTACTTAACACCCTAACCCTAATGTTGGAAAATCTGTTAATTGTGTGAGGAATCAACATTTATTAGGTTTTCTTATGAATTTCATGTGTGAGGAATCAACATGGATGATTTGAGTAGGTGACATCAACATTGTTAGATTAATTGACGTTCTTAATTGACATAGCCATTTCAAAAGAGGGATAAGGAAGGAAGTCAATCCTAAGTACCTTTAATTGATATTTTCTCAACAATTTACAAGTCTTTGTCATTTAATTTCAATTCAACTCTTATTTGCAAAACATAATCTGTTTTAATCTACTTAGTGAGATAATTGAGAATTTCCATTGAAACTGTTCCTCGTGGGATCGACTTTTATTTAATCGAAATACTATACTGCGATTGATAATTTGGTACGCTTGCCAATAATTCAACAACTTCTCACCATGATTCTAATAATACTCAAGTTCCCAGTTCTGATCTCAGAACTTATGATTGAGTTCGAAATAAGCCTCAATATACTTGGACCAATATTATTATGGTTCTGCTTCTAGCTCTCAATCTCATTTGTCCACTCCATATCCTATACATTTGTTTCTTTCCTATAATAACTACTCTTCTAACCATACTTCTTTTTGTGATAACATTTCTACACAGGTTGAACCCTCCTCCTTTAAAGAAGCTAGTCAATCTCATTAAGACTCATACATATTCCTTCAACAAGTTAACTAACGTATATGTTTACTCAAGTCCTTTATTTATCTGTCTTTTCATTTCTGTTATCTCCAAACTTAGCATTCATAATATTCATGCTCCCCTTGAGGGAGGATGATAAAAATATTGTTTTGTTAGTTTGTTAATATCTTCTTTCAAATATCTCTATAATGTATTATGTTAATTTATTAGTCTGTTATTTTTCATTCATACTTATTTGAATTATATTCAAGCATTCTTCCCCTTATATTTAGGAGTTTCTTTTCTATAATTATAATAAAAAAGTTTTCTTTCAATTTTTTTTTGTAAAAAACTAACCATCTACGTAACAAACAAATATTTTGTTATTTGTATTGTGATGATTAATAGCAAGATGTGAGTTTAAGTTAAAGAAAGTTTCATTTTCTTGTTATTAATGAGAATAAAATACTATAAATAGATGAACTTTATAAATTACTAAAATTGTGAAGGAACAAATAATAATTTTGTCGTGGTGGACTTCAAACACAAAAATTATCACAAATCATCCCTTATCATATTTTCACTTTAGGCAACAGTTTTGCCACATGACAGAACTCGATAGTCATCAATTAATTCAAAATGGATATATTTTAAAATATCAGTTTTAAATTTTATACCATTTAAGGGGCTGGTGTTATATAATTAAAAATATAAAAATACAATTTTAAATTAAAAAACATGAAGACTATATTATATTACAAGATCTTAGAAGGTATTTAAAATTTCTCATGTAACTAACGAAGTAACATTATAAGAAAAATTATTTTTATAACATTGTAAAAAACATGAATAGTCCACTTTCTCATAATAATAGAAAATTTAACATATCATAGCAGTTAAATTTAAGAGTGTCCATTTATAATGTTTTTCATTTCCTTTGTTTTTTTTTTCTTTTTACAAATTTATCACCATATTTTAAATTTATTTCTTATTTTAAACTATTTGTATAAAAAAACAATAAAACTAACTTCTTTATTTATTATTCCTTTTTTATAAATACTTGAAATCCGAAATAAATTAAAAATAAATTAACTTTTATATAATAAATACAAAAAATCTGTCAAAAAATAAAAATAAATAATAGAAAATTTATGAAAAACAAAGAAACGACCGAAGATAAGACAAAAAGAGTTGGAGATGAGCAATGTATCCACTGCAGCTAAATTGGATTGTGAAGTTTTTGTTGGGTCAGTTTCAGAATAGATGTCATAAAAAAATAACTATTTATTTTCTATAAAAATTATTTAAAAATAAAATATATTATTTTAATATATAAACATTTGATAAATTATTTATATTTTACTAATCATATCAAAATGATATTTTTATTTAAAAATAAGTTTATAAGAGATGTAACGTTTTTAATCCTTTGAGAAATATTTTTTTAAAAATCTAAACATTTATTCAATAACTAATTACATTAATATAATAATATTATTTAATATTATATTAATTTTATTTATTCTGTCATTAATTATATTAATAATATAATATTATTTAATATTATATTATTTTGTTGGGTTGCTTGTTGAGTGTAGGGATTATAAAAAATCACCCTTCTAATCTTTTCCTCTTGTCTTCTCTTTTTTCGAATCCTAATAACTGATTTCCACTTCACCTCCTACACTTTTATATATTCTCTCCCTCCTTCTCTCTTTCCACAGATCCCAATAGCACCATGGACAACGCTAATTCTGCTGCTACTGCAAATGGTAAATTTCTTCGTCATTGTTCAATTCAGTTAATACGAGAGATAACGTGCTTCTGTTGCCTGAAATAGTTATTATCACTTTGCGCTAAAATAATATCTGAACAAATGAGTATTTGTTTTTCAAATCAGTTTTCTTCCTCTTCTCTTTTCTTTTTCATTTTTCTTATTAAATACATTACAGATTTTAGTGCAACAATACTCTTTCTTGATTTTGCTTGTATGGCTGGAAGGATCTGACACTTTGATACTGGCTTTTGTTATATACAAATACAGTTTTCAAAGTCAACGATGAAACTATTTCTACTGCATTGTTTTCTCTAACATTATTTTCTATTGGATACCAGCTGTACAGGATAGAGACTTCCTATCAAGAGTCGTGGAAGAAATACAGGGATGAAGAAAGAAATTAAGTTTAATTATCGTTTTATAGTTTTATCTTTAATATTATACAAATATTTTTAATTCTTTTTATAAATTTTAATAATATTACTTTTTGTGAGTCATATTCTTTTTTATTCCACTTTAAATATTACAAACTTTTTTATTAAATTTATCATTGTTTCTATCATAAAATTTAATATTTCTTAATGATAATTATTTAATAATAAATTTTAATCAATTAAAACACATTTTAATATTAACTAATTTTTATTATCTTAAAATTGTAGACACAATTATACTTGTGCTCCTACTAATAATATTTTTTGTCATTTTAATTTTTAACAGTAAGATTTTATTTCTAATTTTGATAATTATCTATATTTGAATATCCAGTTTGCATTAAATAAGCTATTTTAACGTATGCAAAAGTTTTTTTTATAATAATTATAACTTTACATAATTTTATTTATGTAAATTAGTTTATTATTCATTGATTTCTTCATTAACGAAATTAATTTTATTGTATTATTATGTCATAATAAAAATGTGAGACGACAATTAGGCATGTGTTTTTATTAATTTCAATAATAGAATTATAATGTTAATATTTAATTAAGTTTTATAAAGTCATGCTATTAATCTACGCATTGATATTTATAATATTTATCTTTTATAACATAACAAAATTTAAGCGTTAATTATTTATTAAAAACAAAGGACTTGAATAAGTAATTTCTATTATACGGTAGTCATTTTTATTTTATTTATTTATAATAATATATACTACTCATTTATCTTTGTTTATTTAGTTATTTTGATAGGATCTTATCTTATGCTATATAAAAAAAAAAAAAAAACATATGTCAAGCTTCTTTTCCGTGAGTAACTAAAGTTGATAATCATTAAATAAACAACAACTAAAGATCGTTTTACACGCACCATATTTAAATATTTTAAGTTGTAGGATCAGTGGACCAGAAATATATAAAAATAATACACCAAATAATTGATAACTTGGTATTTCTAAGAGAAAATCTTGGTCTAGTTTGTGTTGCCTTCTTCTATATACTCTTTTTAACATTGTTCCTATTTTGCCTCGTCCTCTTTTTCGTCTGATCCTAATACTATGATGGAGGATGCTGCTAACTCTAATGGTAAAATAATTCATAATTATAAGCTTTGCTCGTAGTTCTGTTTAAATTGTCACTTACAGGAAATATGCAAAACAAATCGTATACATTAAATTGTCCAACAATGAAAATTTAATCCTTAAGTCTTGTTATCTTTAAAGTATATTGAGATTATCTAGATATTAAAGAATCACGGTTCGTCTCTTAGTATCATGTGTGTTTTTTTATATCACTGGATTGCCTTATTTGTGTTATATTCTCTTGTTGTATGAGGTACAGAGGATAGAGAAAACATGTTCCTAACAGTAGCAATTGAAGAAGCATATAAAGCGGTTGAAAGAGGTGATGGTCGCCCATTCGGTGCCGTTATTGTTCGAAATGATGAAATAGTTGCAAGCTGTCATAACATGGTTGTAAGAAACACTGATCCCAGTGCTCATGCTGAGATTGCTGCTATAAGAGAGGTTTCCAATAAAAGAAAACTAGTTTTTTCTTATTCAGAAATATCAAATATGATAACTTGTTCAATGAATAGAAGTAGAAGTTACACCTTAAACCTACTAATTTATTATCTTAATAAAATTTGGAATTGAAATTAGCCTCGAAATATCTTGTTAGAGTTCTTTATTCTCGATTGAAATACCTTTGAGAGTTTTGAAAAATGTTGTTCTATACCGTAAATAGGTCGTCTATGAGTTCAAATTTCTGAAAATTTACATTGTTTACTCTAATAAACATTCATTGGACTCACTTCATCCTGATATATATTAGACATTAGTTTATATGTATATGGACTATGATTATTTATTTCTAAATCGAAAACCATGTTACCTTTTCTACTTAGAGAAATAAAATTGGATTAGTGGTGATAGATTGTGGATTCCAATTATCATTCCAAAAAACTAACATATTAACGACTAATAATTAACATTTGTTGATTACAAAAAATGTTGTTTTTTCCACCAACTTTCTTCTCTAAACTGTTTTGGACCTCATGTTAAGCGGATATCAATGTAGGCTTGTCGAAAGTTGAATCGAGTTCAACTTGCTGACTGTGAAATATACGCTTCTTGTGAGCCTTGTCCAATGTGCCTTGGTGCGATTCATTTTTCCAAAATCAAGGTGACCTCGCCACACTACTCATATGTTTACCATCACCACGTGTATCTTTAGTCTGTATTGAATTGATCACAATGTTCATTCTGCTCACAATGGTATAGAGACTTGTTTATGGAGCTAAAGCAGAAGCTGCAGTAGCTATTGGATTCGATAATATCATTGCTGATGCACTGAAAGACACTGGTTTTTATCAGAAGGTCAACTTGGAGATCAAAAAGGCTGAAGGTAGTGTTGCTATAATTGCAGAACAAGTATTTGAGAAGACCAAAGACAAGTTTGTTGTACCCTGATTTGCTTAATTATCTTATTAAATGTGAGTGCAAGGTACTGGTTTAAAAAATCTTTTTACTATATTAACTATGTTCAAGTTCAAGTTACAATGGTGTGAAAACTTTAAATTTCTTAACGTAATTATATAAAAAAAAACTTCTAATAGGGACGTGAGTAGTTGCTTGAGGTTAGGTTCTAAAACTAGCATGTCTTCTTATGAAAAGTTGATGGTAAATGGTAAAATAAATTTAGGAGAGAAACATCCGGAAAAGTATCACTGCTACAGATATGCCTTTCAACGTCGGTTATATAAGGCTTTCAACGTCTGTTATACAACCGACGTTGTATAAGGCGACGTTGAAAGTATACACTTTCAACGTCGGTTCTCTATACCCGACGTTGAAAGTGTAGGCTTTCAACGTCGGTTATTCATACCCGACGTTGAAAGTGTATACTCGTCGCTCAAGCGAGTACACTCGTCGCTCAAGCGAAATTGAACCGAGAGACCCCTTTGTTTGAAGCTTTCGTCGCTTAAGCGAGTACACTCGTCGCTCAAGCGAGATGGAACCCGAGAGTCCCCATTGTTTGAAGCTTTCGTCGCTTAAGCGAGTACAGTCGTCGCTCAAGCGAGATGGAACCCGAGAGTCCCCTTTGTTTGAAGCTTTCGTCGCTTAAGCGATTACACTCGTCGCTCAAGCGAGATGGAACCCGAGAGTCTCCTTTGTTTGAAGCTTTCGTCGCTTAAGCGAGTCCACTCTTCGCTCAAGCGAGATGGAACCCGAGAGTCCCCTTTGTTTGAAGTTGTCGTCGCTCAAGCGAGTACACTCGTCGCTCAAGCGAGTACGGGTTTACTACGTCGGTTATGGTATGAACCGACGTAGAAAGTCTATTTTTTTTTAAATGGACGCTTTATTTATACAGGGTACCCAATGTTTGTATATATACATACCTGCAAATTTGAATACAACCCAGGCAGACAATGTACAAGATATAAACAATTGAATGTGCATCCAAAAATAAAATTGTATCCAAAATTATTGTGTATCCAACTACTTATCTACCAAATACACTAACTACTAATCTAACTAATAAACTAACTAGTAAACTAACTAGTAAAGTAACTAAACTAACTACTAAACTAACAACTAAACTAACTACTAAACTAACTACTAAACTAAGTACTAAATTAATAACTAAACTTGCCTACTTCTAACTTTAACAAACTTATCGGCCCATGTGTTTCTAATATCGTCAATGGTCTCTATGGGCAATGCTTCCCTGTCCGAAAATACCGTTACAAGAAAAAGATAATTTAACGAGTATCCAATGACACAATATCTGGGTCTTTTATTGAATACTAAATTTAAGCAAACCTGATTCCATGTATCCTCAATCTTGCTAACAACAATCAGCCACATCCGATTGCATAACATAATATCCGCACTCATAAGATCCTGGTTGCCTATTACACTACAAAAAATAATATATTAATTTGACATATAAAATGAATGATATAATACATAAATATAAAAGGACTTACATTAACAAAAATCCAATCTGAAGTCGTGCTTTTGCTTGTGTGTACTCCATCAATTGTATTGCAAACCTTAAATGCACTTGTGCAATACAAGATATAATGAAACAATTAAGTAACAAAACAATTAATAATTGTTTAAATTATTATAAGAATGTGTACCGTTTACAATGTTTTTAAGATCTGCATCAGGTTTCTTGCCCAGTGAGCAGAACCAAGCCACAACATTACGCTTTGGGCAAACAACCAACAACCGCCAATGATTTACGCTTACATTACAAAAAGTTAGGATAATACAATACACTATAAAATTTAATACGAATAATTTCATACGCTTAAATACTTACTGATGGTGGTAAGCACCCAAGTAAACTTTCTTCCTTGACTTCATCATCCAATTTTGGATGTATATTTGAACTTCTTCTCTCTTGTTTCTCGATTTTTGTATGGATTGGGGCTCAAAAAATCCATACACATCTTGGGTGCGTTGTTCCTCCGACAATTCATTCAAGCATCCTAAAGTAGCCAGTTCAATGTACATTAAATATGACGATAACTTCAAATAACATAATTAGTAAATAAAAATAAATACTTACATTGTCCAAAATTGTAACACTCGCTATGTTTAGACACTGATTGCCAACTGCTATCTCCACGACGATCGGTGTGGTCAATGTAAAGGGAAAGTTCTTATTGTCTACCCCTAACTTATCAACATCCCACTTCACTTGAAAAGATTGAATATACAACTGTGGGACAACAGATAGTAGTTGAAAAATTGGATTTTTCGGGACATCTACTTCCTTACCTTTACTAGTATGGGAAGTAGGAACCGGTTTAGGCAAGCTAGGGTGGCTTCGAACATCCTACATAAAATAACATTGACTTGAGAAATAATAAAAAACAGTACCGGACTACATATGATAATTAACGAAAGTATATGCAAACCTTTTTCAAAATAGGCCTGATTAGATGTCTAGGCCATGCAATGAAGGTCCGGAGGGCCTGTCCCACTCGTCATCACCTCGTACGTAGGCACGAGTACAAGAGCATAAGCATCTCGAACCTCTTCAATGACCACTTTGGCCAAGTTAGGTGCTAAAGGCACACTATGAATTGTAGAGGCCCCCTCTTCAATTGAACCAACCGCCACCAATCGTGGTTCGGATCCATCCTCATCAACATAAAATTCACACCGACCTCGATTACACAAAAATAAGACATTAATTATTTAATATGCACATGAATTTTTGTCATTAAGATATCATCCACACATACCCGAGTGGTCGATGTCCGCAACAACAACAACAACCTCCCGATTAGTAGCAGGAAGGTCTTGATCAGCAGTATTTGGCTCAAGACAACTACCCTTAGTGCTAACTCGTGCGGCAGATGGAGGAGGAACATCCATAGGTGGGTGGGTAGGTCGTGTGACACCTATGGATGCTAGACTTGAACCAAATACACGCATCATCTCCTCCCGAACTCGTGCGGTAATGGCCGGTGTCGGCGTCGCTGTCGGCTCTTCAACCATCGCTGGTCTCGGCTTCGCTCGTTAGACTCTCCTCCAATCCGGCCATCTCCTGCCGGCTCAATGATGTTGTGTGGGTATGGTCTCGATGATGGAGCTCCAAAATATGCTCGAATACCCACACCAGCTCCAACAGCACGAACACGCCCGGGTGTTCGGGCGTCCAATAGCAGGTAGTTAATATATCTTCACGACCACGGGAACGAATGTTCCCTGTTTATACTGCTCCTCTAAAGAATCCTACAATTGAGCATTATATATTGTAAAAAAAATTGATGAATGACAAAGCATGGTTAATGAGGTTGAAAGAAACTAATTTCACTTACAATCCGCTCAGCAATCAAGCGGGCCTCCTCTGATGTCATTTCACCTGGAGGGCTTTTGCCGAGCCCTCTTCCATTTTTCATGACGTTTTGGAGGAGATGGTAGGGAAATTTCTTCCTGGCTTACACCGGAAGAGGCTAACTCGGCTTCTCGGAGTTTAGCCTTCTCCTTCATCATGCGTTGCGTCAACAAATCATACCCCCCATGAGACAGACAGTGGGGGCCACATTCAGACCTCCGAATCTCCTTTCCTTTTATTCGCTTCTCCTGCAACATAATATCATATTACAATGTGCTAAATTAATAAGACAATATGGAAATATACCAAAGTTTTTAAATAGTAACATACCTCCCATTGTGGACCAGTCCTACTCCCGACAAACCGCTTCCAAGTTTCCTCATCTATGCCATAACGCCGACAAGGAGTTAATCCTTTGCTAATGGCTTGGTCATTAAAAATCCATTTTGAAGTCAATGTCGACTTGAATTGCCTCCACATTTTGGCAATAGATGACATGACTTTTCTCCTAACTTGTTCAGAGTTAACAATATCAAAGTGATTCTGCAAAAACAACAAAATAAATTAGGATAACAAAGTTTAGGATCTAACTTAACTTAACATAATTTAACGAGTTAACAAAACTCACCAAAATATCTTGCCAAATTAAATTTTTGCAAGTCTCCTCCACATAATCCCAAGATGGATGCAAAATAGATACCTAATTATGAACTTAAAACGTTAGATATCAATCCATTTACATATGCTTGACCATATATGCATAACAAGTTAAAAACTCTAAAAAATTACATACCTTTTCTCTAGCAAGAGTACCCAAGTACGACCTAAATTGAGTGTGATGTGGCCCCGATATTTTGCCGGTCTTTGGATCCACACTCGACAACCAACTTATCTCCTGCCATATGACGAACGGTCAACTTTTTCAACCGTGTGGCTTGTCGAGTCCTCTTTAGAGATGGGGGGGTGGACATGCCGGAGGAGATGATGGAGGAGATGCTTGGAGGAGATGGTGGACGAGATGCCATTTGCTCGTTAAAAAAAAAATTAAGTTAAGTTTTTTCATAAATTGGAATATAAACACAATTTATCACATATTTGAAATATAAACACAATGTATCACATATTTTTAATATAAACACAAATTAGTTATGAACACATAACTTAAATAGTTAAGTTTTCCCATATGCCTTCATCATGATCTTTACGAATAGCATGAACCAAATCTTCTTGCATATCATCAATACTACTAGGCATCCGTGATGGAGTGGGGATGTTAATAATATCATCTAATTCATCATCTTCTTCATGCATAACATCATTCCCTTTTGCTTGGAGTACCACTGACCATCTGTCATTACATGGATCAGTTACATAGAAAACTTGTTTTGCATGGTACGCCATTATGAATGGTTCCTCCTTATGTCCTATCTTCTTAAGGTCTATCAAAGTGAATCCCATTTCATCAGTTTGAATACCAGTATTAATATCAATCCATTTACATTTGAATATAGGAACTCTGAATTGAATGTAGTCAACCTCCCAAATCTCCTCAATCACTCCAAAGTAACTCATAGATGCCATAATTGGGTTCTTATCCTTTGAACTAGAAAAG